GTGTAACGTTAGTATGAACGGACATCTGCATATGATCGGAACTCCTCGCAGCTCCCGCGCTACTCTCCATTGGAAATGAATGACCGGTCTGTCGCTTGTCATTTGTCGGAGATAGTGGAAAGCCGGATTGAAACGCAGTGGAAACGCTAGTATGACAAGGATCGTTTTCATTTTAAAACATAAACGCACTAGTGTAAATGTAGCCTTACATCTATGGGGACTGGGACGCATTCACATTACAGCCTCACGTGTGCGCCACATCTCTGAGTGTAACCGTGTTCGACTTGACGCGGACCGACTGTGCAGAGTGATCGGTGTATTCCAGTACCACGAGAGCTAAAGAGAAAAGCCTTTTTTTTTTAATAATAAATATTAAAACTTTAAAAGAATGCAAGTTTTTAATGATATAATTATGTGTCTACAATTCGTTTTTTGAAATATATTTGTTCGAATGCTAGCTGTAGCAAAAACATTGTTTACAAGCTGTTTATTTGACATCTTACGGCGGTTGAAACACTGATTAAGTGATTACATGAGACATGATACTTTTCAGTAAGTTGTTCTGTTTATTTCAACAGCTTCTGATGTTCATTCATGTTTATTTTATTCTATAACTAGTAGTAAAGAGGAAGACATGATCTCCCACTTGTACTGATGTACTACAGTGATCTGTCATTCCACATTGTTTGAGTTTAATAATAAAATTGACAGAATTTGAAAGTTAAGACTTTGTTTCCTATCAAAAGTTGTGAAGTACAGCGCTTATTGTGATCATTGGATGGTAAGTGCCCTACAAATGTTTGGTGAAATTTTGTTCATGCATCAACTAAAACAGCACAGACTAAAAGATTGATTCTTGGTATGTAAGACCCGATATCAGTTAATCAAAATGAGAATTGATCAAAACTGAGAAAAATCAGCCCTACCATATTAGATGTCCTCCTCTCTTTCTCCTTCCCTTTTTGTACCTAAAACTTAAACAGTATTCTTCTGTCACCTTCAGAGCACCAGAGTTTCCTGCAGCAGATGTAAATAGTGAATATTGTCCTGTGTGTTTGTGGTTGTCAGTGCCGGAGGTGGAGGGTGAGGGCGACAGCATCAGCTCTCTGTGCACTCAGATCACATCCACCTTCAGTGGGCCTCCAGAGGACCCGTTCTCCTCCGCACCAATGCCCAAACCCGCCTCCTCACCACAGTCACCCTCTGCTCCAGGTCAGCTACACCCTCACACTCTCAGTAGTTTACAAAGGCGTAGATGTTTGTGTTATGACTTGCACCACTAGCCATTTTTACTAGTTAGCTGGTCAGTGTTTACCTAATGTAAAAGACTCAATACACACAGCATCTGTATCAGAATGAATGTAAACATGCTTTTTTTTTAAAAATCAGAACTTGATATATATTACCATTCAAAAGTTTGATTTATTTCAAAACTTTTGATGTTTTTAAAAGAAGGCTCTTATGCTCACCAAGGCTGCATTTATTTAATCAAAAACACAGTAAAACAGTAAAATTTTGAAATATTACTACAATTTAAAATGACTGTCTATTTGAATATATGTTCAGATGGAATTGATTCCTGTGATCAAAGCTGAATTTTCAGCATCATTACTCCAGTCTTCAGTGTCACATGATCCTCCAGAAATCATTCTGATGCTGATTTGCTGCTCAAGAAACGTTTAATATTATTATTATCAATGTTGAAAATAGTTGTGCTGCTTCATAATTTTGTGGAAAGCGTGATACATACAGTACACAAACTCATTGACAACTAGCTAGTAAATTTGTCAGCCATCTCCATTACTAATACAAAGCTTATGTCATATATATTGATAACAGAGGAATTTTCCTCCTGCTGTCACCATACTTAGAATAAGCACAACTAAAATCATGTGATTCCAGACTAGTCATTACAGACCCAGAACCCTGATTAGCGGCAGAACTAATCTAATCGTCTTTGCAACCCCTAATGCTTGTGTGTGTGTGTGTGTGTGTGTGTGTGTGTGTGTGTGTGTGTGTGTGTGTATTCCTAT